AGGAATGCAGCATGGCAGTGGCCCCTCAGTGGTGGCGGCTCCGTCGAATCTGGTAGTCATTAGCGCGGCCAGGTCAGGCGACGCTTCTCCGCCCGCGCCACAGCCACCCTGCAGCCCCGAGGGCTCCTGCTGAGCTGCCCTAAGCAGCCCCCAAGAGCCAAGCCAAGCGGAACTTCCCCCCGCTGGCCACCTGCAAGATCGTCGAGGCGGAGGGGGGCGGCCAGCTGGGAAGTCTCCAGGCCCCACCAGGAGGTTGGCATCTGCGCCTCGCCTAGGGCGCAGAAACACCTCTGGCCGGCCCTGCTCCTTCCCTTCCCTTCCCCACAACAGATACCCTGTGAGGCAAGTGGGGCTGAGAGAGCTCTGAGAGAACTGCTCTTGTGAGAACAACTCTGAAAGAACTTGTAACTGACCCAAGGGCACACCAGCCGCTGCATATGGCAGAGTGGGGAATCAAACCCGGTTCTCCCAGATCAGAGTCCACACTCCTCACCACTACACCAACAGGACCCGGCTCTGGTTTTTAGATGCTTTGCTTCCGTCACCTGTGCACCCCTTTCGATGCAGACACTAGATGACTCCAATCCATCTGCTTGAAGTCTGAATGAAAAGGGTGCGGGCATGCAAAAGATGTATATTTTTGGCTCCAAGTCATGACTTGGGACAGATGCTGTGAATCATGCAAAGGCTTAGAGTCAGTTGACAAGTTGATACACTCCTGTGTATCGACCCTGTCCTCTGGGAGCGGGCAGGCCTGGAGAAAAATATGCCCCGTGCCTTTAAGAAGGGCTCTGTGTCTGTAATATGGGCAGCTGCCGCTTCTCATGGTGTGGAAGTGAATAAGATCACCGGGTTAATAACATCCCACTAGTAGATATTTGCTTTATGTGAAGACCTTGGGTTCTGTTATTAGAGAGTCGACATGGAATGTTTCCTTCAAGAGTTGATAAGTAGTACTTGTTAGGAACTGGGATCGCTACACACTGAGATAAAGCAAATATTGTGAAACAAATTGTTCATTGCGTAGTATTCGTGAAACAGCGTGTGAGCGATAACAGAAGAAGAATTCTACCGAAATTACTACAGTAAACATTTTTGCAACTTATCTTTATTGACTCTTCTTTGTTTTTGTCAGGGATGCTGTTTTTGGCATTCCACTTCCTCCCATGATCTCCCATTTTTGGCTGCCACCTGGAGGTTAGCAACTGTTAAGTAGTGGGTTCAAGAGGCTACAGTGATTTCAACATAGCTCTTTATTCAGGAACATGACAACGGCACACAGGGTGAGCCGCTGCTATATACAGAAGCCCCAGCCCCAGACACACCCACAAAATACAAGTAGACCAATAGGAACATAGTTGCTGGGAGCCTTCATTTGCATGGCATCATTGACGCTTCTGTTACCTGACTGGCCAGCTGGGCAAGGGCGGCCGATCTGAATGTAGCTGCAAGGAGCCTTTCGAACA